TGTGAGGGAGACTAGAGGGAGAGTACCACCTGTAAGGGAGACTAGAGGGAGAGTACCACCTGTGAGGGAGACTAGAGGGAGAGTGCCACCTGTGAGGGAGACTAGAGGGAGAGTACCACTTGTGAGGGAGACTAGAGGGAGAGTACCACTTGTGAGGGAGACTAGAGAGTACCACCTGTGAGGGAGACTAGAGGGAGAGTGCCACCTGTGAGGGAGACTAGAGGGAGAGTATCACCTGTGAGGGAGACTAGAGGGAGAGTACCACCTGTGAGGGAAACTAGAGGGACAGTAGCACCTGTGAGGGAGACTAGAGGGAGAGTACCACCTGTGAGAGAGACTTCAGGGAGAGTACCATCTGTGAGGGAGACTAGAGAGAGAGTACCACCTGTGAGGGAGACTAGAGGAAGACTACCACCTGTGAAGGAGACTAGAGGGAGTGTACCACCTGTGAGGGATACTAGAGGGAGAGTACCACCTATGAGGGAGACTAGAGGGAGTGTACAACCTGTGAGGGAGACTAGAGATAGAGTACCACTTACGAGGGTGACTAGAGGGAGTGTGCCACCTGTGAGGAAGACAAAAAAGAGAGTACCACCTGTGAGAGAGACTAGAGAGAGAGTACCACCTATGAGGGAGACTAGAGGGAGAGTACCACCTGTGAGGGAGACTAGAGGGAGTGTACTACCTGTGAGGGAGGCTTGTGGGAGAATACCACCTGTGAGGGAGACAAGAGGGAGAGTACCACCTGAGAGGGAGACACGAGGGAGAGTACCACCTGTGAGGGAGACAAGAGGCAGAGCACCAAATGTGAGGGAGACTAGAGAGAGAGCACCACTTGTGAGGGAGACTAGAGGGAGAGTACCACCTGCGAGGGAGACTAGAGGCAGAGTAACACCTGTGAGGGAGACTAGAGGGAGGATACCACCTGTGAGGGAGACTAGAGGGAGACTACCACCTGTGAGGGAGACTTGAGGGAGGCTACCACCTGTTAGGGAGACTAGAGGGAGAGTACCACGTGTGAGGGAGACTAGAGGGAGAGTACCACTTGTGATGGAGAGTAGAGGGAGAGTACCACCTGTGAGGGAGACTTGAGGGAGACTACCACCTGTCAGGGAGACTAGAGGGAGTGTACCGCCTGTGAGGGAGTTTTGAGGGAGAGTAGCACCTGTGAGGGAGACTAGAGGGAGAATACCACCTGTGAGGGAGACTAGAGGGAGAGTACCACCTGTGAGAGAGATTAGAGGGAGAGTACCACCTGTGAGGGAGACTAGAGGGAAAGTACCACCTGTGAGGGAGACTTGAGGGAGACTACCACCTGTCAGGGAGACTAGAGGGAGTGTACCGCCTGTGAGGGAGTTTTGAGGGAGAGTAGCACCTGTGAGGGAGACTAGAGGGAGAATACCACCTGTGAGGGAGACTAGAGGGAGAATATCACCTGTGAGGGAGACTAGAGGGAGAGTACCACCTGTGAGAGAGATTAGAGGGAGAGTACCACCTGTGAGGGAGACTAGAGGGAGAGTACCACCTGTGAGAAAGACTAGAAGGAGGGTACCACCTGTGAGGGAGACTAGAGGGAGAGTACCACCTGTGAGAGAGACTAGAAGGAGGGTACCGCCTGTGAGGGAGACTAGAGGGAGAGTACCACCTGTGAGGGAAACCAGAGGGAGAGTACCACCTGTGAGGTAGAATTGAGGGAGAGTACCACCTGTGAGGGAGACTAAAGGGAGAGTATCACCTGTGAGAGAGATTAGAGGGAGAGTACCACCTGTGAGGGAGACTAGAGGGAGTGTGCCACCTGTGATGGAGACTAAAGGGAGAATACCACCTGTGAGAGAGACTAGAGGGAGAGTACCACCTGTGAGGGAGACTACAGGGAGAATACCACCTGTGAGAGAGACTAGAGGGAGAGTACCAAATGTGAGGGAGACTATAGGGAGAGTACCACCTTTAAAGGAGGCTAGAGGGAGAGTACCACCTGTGAGGGAGACTTGAGGGAGAGCATCACCTGTGAGGGAGGCTAGAGGGAGAGTACCACCTGTGAGGGAGACAAGTGGGAGAGTACCACCTGTGAGGGAGACAATAGGGAGAGTACCACCTGTGAGGGAGACTAGAGGGAGAGTACCACCTGTGAGGGAGACTAGAGGGAGAGTACCACCTGTGAGGGAGACTAGAGAGAGAGTACCACCTGTGAGGGAGACTAGAGGGAGAGTACCACCTGTGAGGGAGACTAGAGAGAGAGTACCACCTGTGAGGGAGACTTGAGGGAGAGCACCACCTGTGAGGGAGACTAGAGGGAAAGTACCACCTGTGAGGGAAACTAGAGAGTACCACCTGTGAGGGAGACTAGAATTAGTGTACCACGTGTGAGGGAAACTAAAGGGAGAATACCAGATGTGAGGGAGACTAGAGAGCACCACCTGTGAGGGAGACTAGAATTAGTGTACCACCTGTGAGGGAAACTAAGGGGAGAATTCCAGATGTGAGGAAGACTAGAGGGAGAGTACCACCTGTGAGGGAGACAAAAGGGAAAATACCAACTGTGAGGGAGACTAGAGGGAGTGTACCACCTGTGAGGTAGACTAGAGGGAGATTACCACCTGTGAGGGAGACTAGAGGGAGTGTACCACCTGTGAGGGAGACTAGAGGGAAAATACCACCTGTTAGGGAGACTAGAGGGAGAGTACCACATGAGAGGGAGACAAGAGGGAGAGAACCTCCTCTGATGGAGACTAGAGGGAGAGTACCACATGTGAGGGAGACAGGAGGGAGAGAACCACCTGTGATGGAGACTAGAGGGAGAGTATCACCTGTGAGGAAGACTAGAGAGAGAGATTATCACCTGTGAGGGAGACTAGAGGGAGAGTACCACCTTTTAGGGAGACTAGAGGGAGAGTACCACCTTTGAGGGAGACTAGAGGGAGAGTTCTAAACATACTTTTCAGTTTACTTAATCTCGCAAAAACTACCTCTCTTCTAATCTATTTTGTTTTAATGTGTACTCTATGAGCTTTCGTCTCGAGAAATATTTTGAGCTTTTATCAGATATCTCTAGCTGTACTCTATCTCTGGTTTTCTCAACCCCTTTCCCAGTTTCCATAAATAAGTATTTTCTTAAGGTTGAACTCCAGCAGCCACTTGTTTACCTTTAATATACATTTAATGAGTTGAGAGAGCTTTTCTCTACTCCCAGAGCCCCACCTGGGCGTGTCGCACTCCGCCTGCTGCCTTTCCAAGTCTTCCTGCAGCTTATATGAGCCTTCCTCCGTTCTAATCTTCTCGTTAACTTCACAGTATGAACGAAGACTGACAGGTAAGATTCAGTCGCTCTGGTAGGTCCTACACACATCCTAGGAAGAATAACAGTCCTTTGTTTGTGTTCATTTTTATATTCGTTACTTTTTTTTAATAATTTTATTCTTGTTTTCATTGTGTTTGCTCTCCTATATGTGGTTGAAGGGGTCGATTTGTAGCTCCTGGCCCCGCCTCTTCGCCGGTCGCTCCTCACGGCAACATAATAATATCTTTTTTTATTATTAATATATCGGCCGTGTCCCACCAAGGCAGGGTGGCCCGAAAAAGAAAAACTTTCATCATCATTCACTCCATCACTGTCTTGCCAGAGGCGCACTTACGCTACAGTTATGAAACTGCAATATTAACACCCGTCCTTCAGAGTGCAGACACTGTACTTTCCATCTCCAGGACTCAAGTCTGGCCTGCCGGTTGTCCTGAATCTCTTCATAAATGTTACCTTGCTCACACTCCAACAGCGCGTGAAGTCCTAAAAACCACTTGTTCCCACTCAGTATCTAACACGTTCACACATGCTTGCTGGAAGTCCAAGCCATTCGCACACAAACCCTCCTTTACTCCCTCCCTCCAACCTTTCCTAGCAAAGGGACACAAGTGCAACTAATGTAACATTTTATTGTGGCAACGTTTCGCTCTCCAGGAGCTTTGTCAAGCCGTTAGCTTCACAAAGCTCCTGGAGAGCGAAACGTTGCCAAAATAAAATGTCACATCAGTTGCATTTGTGTCCTTTTACCTAACATATTGTCGGTAATTCTACCAACGTTAATACAATCTTTCCTAGGCCGACCCCTACCCCGCCTTCCTTCCACTACAGATTTATACTCTCTCCAAGTCATTCTATTTTGTCCAATCTCCTCTCTAAGTGTCTGAACCACCTCAGCAACCCCTCTTCAACCCTCTGGATAATCATTTTAGTAACCCCCACACCTCCTAATTTCCAAATTATGGATTATCTGCATTATATACACTCCACACATTGCCCTCAGATACGACATCTCCACTGCCTCGAGCCTTCTCCTTGTTGCAACATTCATCACCCATGTTTCACACCCATATAGGAGCGTTGGTATAACTATGCTCTCATACATTCCCCTCTTTACTTCCATGGATAATGCTCTTGTCCCCACAGACTCCTCAATGCACCACTCACCTTTTTCCCCTTCTTCAATTCTGTGATTCACTTCATTTTTCATAGACCCATAATAATAATAATTTTTATTTCTACCAGTACATGATGCAGCTTATACAGACCTAACTGACATCAGTGTCATAATATATAGAAATCCCATGGTTATACAAAGCATTTCGGGCAAATTAGGTTCATTTTGTCCCTGGATGCGACCCACACCAGTCGGCTAACATCCACGTACCTATTTCCTGCATCTGTCTCACACTTTACGATGCTGGGCGCCACTGTGGTCAAAACAGATACTGGGCATGACTGCTACTGTCTCTCCCCTGACCTTGTCCCTGAATCAGAGGACTCTGGGGCAGCGAGGGTACGAGAAGAGCCGGTACCACAGGGTCGGAGTACCGGCTCCAGCACACGATCCTCACTGAGAGGAACGTTCCGAGGGGGAGCCAGAGGGTGCCAGAGGGGTGCCAGAGGGTGCCAACGAGGGGTAGTCGCTAGGGAGGAATCACTCGCTGTCCACGTGGACACTCTGCTATATAAAGTAGGTTTGGGCAGAGAGAGAACCTCAGTGAGGCGCTTGTAGTAGTGCGAGGAGGTTGTGAAGGGTGAGCATAGTGGTGGTCATCAGTGTCATCGTTAACTACCGCCAAACTACCTGTCCAAACCATCCACCAAGCCTCCAGCCTCACCTAATTCCCGTCCTGAAATTTCGGTGAGTTTTCACTGTAGTTTCTGCGAGAAACACAACATTATTAATTTTTTATCATTTTTTTTCATCGCGGGTAATTATATAATGGGTAGTTGCAGTAGTTTTACGTTCGCTACTCGCGACGAACCCGTCCAGATTTACTAAGTTAGTGGTATTTACGTTTTCTTTGACTCTGTCCACTCAAGATTTTAGACGATCAAACGTTTCCCGAGGCTCCATCGCATCACCAATATACAGAAATTAATATTTACCAGCATTTTACCAGTGATTTGTAAAGGCAATTCTTCTTTGCTTTGTAAAAATGCTCATAGATTCAAAGTTACGTAGATGCAAAGTTCCATATACACATCGAGAAGTGTATATCCCTCAGTGTACATACTCTGGGAGTTTAATTTAATCCCTATTTTAGGGATTAAAGTATTCTTTTCTGGTGGTGAAAAGGTTTCGTACAGCCTAAATGGCTCTAATATAATCGATAGGCTTTAAACCCTATTAACCATTTAAATGTGGGGGGCAGAGATCCCTTAAACGGCTTGCTAGGTGCTTAACCCATAGGGACAACTCCGGGCACAAGAAATCAACCCATTATCTGTATCTCTGCTTTTGTACCATTGGCACTCCTCTCAGTAGGCACTGTTCAGAGTATGTTTCCTGACGAAGATACTTTCTGTAGCCAAATGCAAGTGCCCTGGTCACTCTCCAGTTACTGACCAGCTTCAGTGAGAACACTCATAATAATAATCTTTATTTCTACAAGTACATGATACAACTTATACAGACCATAGCTGACATCAGCGACAAATTATATAGAGAGCCCTTAATTATGCAGAACATTTCGGACAGCTTAGGTTTTGTTCCCAGGATGCGACCCACACCAGTCGGCTAACACCCAGGTACCTACTTACTGCTAGGTGAACAGGGACAGCAGGCGTCTTAAGGAAATACGCCCAATGTTTCGTATCTATTACAGCGAAGTGTGTCTACGTCATTCACAGGGACAAGCCAGTACAATACTCATTAAAATCACACACACACACACACACATACACACACACACACACACACACACACACACACACACACACACACACACACACACACACACACACACACACACACACGTGTGTGTGTGTGTGTGTGTAATAATTTTAATAATTCTAAAACTGACTGGGTAATAACTGAGATAGTTCTACGGAAATCAGTGGGTAACCGAACTATATTAGAACAAAGCTTCATAAAGCCGTCACCTGACATAGTTCGGAGATCAGCGGCGATACATCGAAGTGTAGACCTACTGACTCATTGCCCGTAACGCTCTGCATAACTATGGGTTTTCTGCAAGCGCAACCTAATGTTACCCATCCCTGTACAAACACTGTATCATGCTGAAATAATAATAATAAATAATAATAATAATAATAATAATAATAATAATAATAATAATAATAATAATAATGAAATCCTGCTCCTCTGGTTGTATATGTTGCCACGTTTACTGGTTCTCTGCTAAATAAGATTTTGCTTCACTAAATTTACTGTTCCTTAAGACTGTCACAGAATTCATAAAAGCACTTTATATTTCATTATTTTTCAAGGTATTTATATTCCCCACACACACACACACACACACACACACACACTTATACTTACCATAGCAACAATAAATATACTATATCAACGGTAGCGCGACATGGTTATTATTGGTTATTGTTATATTCACATCATTGTTAATCGGCTTTCTCCATCTCTTGCAGGTAACGCCTAAAAACGTAGCATTAAAAATGAGAACCTTAACCTTTTTCATCAGCTTCGTCGTCACCTTCTACTGCCTGGTGCTCCTCTTCCAGTAAGTGTTGTGTATTCTCTTTTGATGAAGCTCTATGTAGAGTGAAGCGTAGTCCCAATTAGCTTCTTCTAGGAATACAAACACTGGTAGCAGAGAATGCATTTAACGCCACGTTTCGCTCAATGCTGTCCTCTATTGGATATACGGGAATGAGCAAATACACGACCGTATAAGACAAACGAGAGTATGCAGTCAGCCTCTGAGAAAGACAGGTCACATACGAGGTCATGAAATTGCGAGGTCTCTCTCTGTTTCATGATCTCGTAGTACTCGCCTATTCGCTCATTCCTGTATACTGGATAAAGTCCAGCCGTGGGCGAAACGTTGTATTGAAAGGATCCTCTACTACCAGCATCGTTATTCCCACTAGTCGGCTCTTGTTATTATCTTCCAACAACTTCTGCCACAGCTTGTGCGTTAGTCTTCAACCTTGTCGGCAGTGCAACATTTCTACCCTTTAACAATTGACGTTTCGGTAACTCAACATATTATTGCAACCTTAAAGTATCCTAGAATATGCTTAACAACTGCGAAAAAAGGGAAGATTATAGCATAAATTAGACGCCTGTGCAATATATATATATATATATATATATTATATATATATATATATATATATATATATATATATATATATATATATATATATTATATAGCGTAGATTATTGTTTCAATGTTTCAATAGCCCTCGTAAATGATAGTCTTTAAGCCAAAAAGTTTGATTCAAGGAAGAGGAGCGTAGCTCTAATTATTTGGATCAGGAGTCCCTCACTATCTTCAAGGCAATTTCCCCCTAATCAACACATGCCAGAAAAAGAATCTTCTAGGAAATGCAGATCTGCATTGTCCCTTTGTCGTTATTATGAGAACTGTGATCAGTAAATATATATGACGTTGAATAATTTGTTCTGAGGATGTTATGTTAAGAAATAGACTTGCCATGGTATATTTCTTTTGTTTTAAGCGTTAGAACACATGAACAAGGCGATAGTTAATGTGAATGTGATATATTTTTTTTTCATGAATCTTGTTAGGATTTCTAAGAGAATGGGATACATGCACTCTGAGGTATGTGTCTCTCTCAGTCTATATATGCTGGGAATTTACTTTATTTTTGTCTGGTGGTGGACAGGTGACGCGCGGCCTCAATGAATCTATTATCTAACAAAAGTTTTGTTACACAGGGAAGCTGCCGCAGCCCCGCGTTGTAACACTCACGACAGACCCCCACCCAGCAACTGCAAATACGGCACCGTTAGAAATTGGTGTCGCAACGGCGTCTGTGCTAAGGTTTGTAGGCACTGTTTATCCTTCATTACCGACATCGTCTTTTATTAATATTCATTTCTAAATGACTACACTATGTCAACACTTTTTGTCCCCTTTCCTGAGTTTTAGCCTGTCTTTAATACAGTACACTGCCTCTGCTTCCAGCCTCCTCCTCGCTGCAACGTTCAAATATCATGCCTCACTTCGTACAAAAAAGTGTTGGCGCTACTATACTATGAAAAAAATCGTGTTTATGCATTTACTGAGAAATTTCACTCTTTTCGTGAAGCTCTCAACATTCCTGTTACCTTCTTTCCTTCATCTTTCAAGGACTCATTTACCGACATGCTTATTTCAAGATATGAATAAAAATCACTTCATCCATGCTTGTTCCTTTCTAGCTGATATCCAATCTGTCTTTTTCACTTTTTTTCTTTCTTGTGTTCATTTTTAGCTTTTTAATATTATACATCCTCTTGCACCATCTTCTGACCCTCACCAAGACACTGTATCATTACCTTAAAAGCATCCACGACAATTCCCATTCTTATTTTTGAGTCAGAACCCCTCATTAAGACTAGAATTTTATTGATTTCAAATGTGAACTACTAAATATTTAATGCATATTTTTTATTACTAGCATGAAACACATTTAGTTGAGTTTATTTGCAAAAAATACCAATTATTGTAACACTGTGATCCAGAAATGCATTTTTCTTTGCTTAGCGAAACGTGTAGACGAATCTTCAGAGGTAGCTAGGATATTTAGGATTAGATATGAATTAGTGTTTGGTTCTGATATTTGTAGGTGGCTGACAGTGGACGGTATTTGCATAAGTTTTTGTCTGTGATGTTTCAGGCTCCCGGAGAGAGCTGTGGAGGACACTGGTATGAACACGGCAAGTGTGGCATAGGAACCTTCTGTCTTTGTGGAGTCTGCATTGGCTGTTCCACTATAGATGGGAGGTGCGCGGATGGTCCCTTGATGTGCTAGATAAATGGATCAAGAGCTTCCTTCTAACAGTCCTCTAACCTATTACTTCCACTGACCATCATCTTGCCGGGTACCTGCTGACGACACCAAGTCTTCTATTTTTGGCCGTCATCTTACTTGTTGATGAAACTAAGTCTGTCTGCCCTACCAACTATCTCCTCTCTCTCCTAGGTACTGGTGTAGGGTGCCAACACCTGCTGTATCCTACCATATTGCCCCGGGTGAGTCGTGAATCCAACTCCTTTTGCTATTCACGGTTATTTTGAATCTTAGTACCTGTTGATAATCAAGATTTCTACCCACCTTCACCAGTACTCTCAGGTACCTGTTGATGACTTTTACATTTTCTGTCACTCGCTACCACACGGCCCGAGACTTACCATGCAGGCACTGCCCGCTGAACTGAGAGACTTACCATGCAGGCACTGCCCGCTGAACCGAGAGACTTATTAATCAGGTGCTGCAGCAGCAGCAACAGCAGTGATTTGCCGAGCAACCTCTGCTCTGTGAACCAAGCCAAGCCTACACTCTCACCTCTCCGTCACTGCCACCAAGACTTCTAAGGAACCATCACTGGGATCTACATTTCTCCATCTACTTTCCTCCTCTGGCCACGTTCCACAGGATTACTTGGCCACGTCTATAGGATTACCTGGCCACGTCCATAGAATTATGACGTTTATGTATCTTCATATCCTCACATTCGTAGGACATGTCTGACCAGACCTATAAGGGTAAGTCTGGCTGGACCATTTGCCAACTATATAAGGTTCTTATATTTGCTAAATATGCTATATCCTGTTGCATATATGCGCTTGTGATAAATGAGTACAAATATTATTACTAGGAGGTATTTAGCCTAGTTGTCTGAACTCTGTACCTCCGACTCTGTATCCAGGGAGACGTAGCAGTTCATATACAATGCAATTGTTGATCCTGTTTTAAGATATATATATATATATATATATATATATATATTATATATATATATGTTTCAATATTATTGTATAAGTTGTAATTAATGACAAAACTCTCAGTGTCCAGTGACACTGATACATTTCAGTTAGTGTATCCCAGATGCTCTCTTGTCAACAGTGGTGCATCCGTAACCAATACTTCCTTTCCCCCATTTCTCGTATTATCCTAGATATGATCATAAATATTTAAATTTTTTCTCGTCATTAAATTATATTTAAGTAATCGTAGCAGTTCAGAAGTATTTATTAAGCCATTTCGATGTAATTCTAGCGTCATGTGCCTAGTGTCTTTAGGTACTGACGTGATATCATCCATGAATACGTGTATACAATGTTTATAAGTTTCTCTTGCAAACTGATATGTCTGGGTTTAGGAGGACTTAATGGCATGTCTTGGGTCATCAGCTACCTGAGACAAGTACTGTGTCACCCGAGGTCATGAACCGGTCTTGTAGCTGGGGTCATCACCAACAAATTGACAGCAAAAACAAAACACCGATAGGTCAGAGGTGTATAATGCCGAGAAGTGAATGGGTGAGAGACGAATATATCATGATGCACTTGTGTCTTATTCAACAACACTCACAAATATGAGTTAAGGGCACAAAGAAACTCACATGGAGGTAAATAAAAGAAGTACTCAGTTTCTGGTTTATTTTCTACATGTGGACTCTCTTGTGCTTATTACGTGGACAAAGAAGTATTCAGATTACAAGTCTATTGTTTTGGACAAAGTTACGTTCAAGGTTATATGCACGTTGAGGTGTATATTTCTCCAAGTATATACATCGAGAGGTGCGTATCTCTGTGTATATACACTTAGGCTTATTCTGTATACTCAGTGGCGGACCTACATTTTTAGGGCCCTGAAGCTTGAACTGTTATGGCGGCCCAATCACAACCCCTTCTCATACAGTAGACCCAAAAAATTAAGTAATATGTACTAAAGTGGCTTCTGGGGCCCTCCGGGATTAAGGGTCCTGGAGTTTAAGCTTCATTAGTTTCATAGTAGATCCGCCCCTGCGTACACTTCGTGCACATTGCTTTGTCCACGTCCTACAGACCAGCCTGTGCCACGATAGGAAATGGTATTCAGTACAGACTAATCTGTAAATGAGACACATATAGTAGTACTAAGATATTTATTGAAATGTTTTGCTCAAGAAGATCCCTAGAGGTCACGGGATCTTCTCTGTCAATACAACTATTAGACAGGCGAAGCTCCGGAGGGGGAAACGTCTCCCCAGCAGGAATCCTAGTACTACGCATTTCATATTTACATACTGTGCCATAATGTACACCTTATAGGCACGAATTACGTGTCATGGAAGTGGACTCGGCTCTCTTTCTCATTCACTCATTCGGCTCCTTTTCATTGGGAATTAGAATAGTTAACCTGAACCTCTGGCAATGACTAAAGTTAACTCAGGTAGTTGAACCCTGAATCCAATTACCGTGTACCTGAAGCACCATGCCTCTCTCTTGCTACTTGTGACGCTCCATCTGGGCTGGAGAACAATAAAGGCTGTGTATTACTACCTGTGTTTGATATCCTGTTGACGTCGACCTTGAAGGAAGGCAGAGGTGCCTTGATGGTGGATAGGAGATGGTGATCCTTAATCAAAGGAGAGGTGCCCTGATGGTGGTGAGATGGTAATCCTGAAGGAAGGGAGAGGTGCCTTGATGGTGACCCCGAAGGAAGAAGAGGTACCTTGATGGTGGTGAGATGGTGACCTTGAATCAAGGGATAGATGCCTTGATGTTATTGCAGGACTCGTAATACAAGAAATTACAGTCACTCTCTTCCTTATGTTAAAGCTGATTACCTCACATCCCCCAGACGCTGCTGGGCCCCCACGGGTTTAGAGGCTTCTCCTTCATGGAAATGACTGCACGCACTATGTCTCTCCCGTTTACCAAGTTAAGTAGATGCTACCACGAGTTTAGCGCTCCCTCATGATCATATAGTCCGTTCTCTTACGAAGCTCTTCTTTGCTCTTCTTACTTGGATCAAACCTCAATGCCTCTCATTCCCCAGGCGTTGTATGTCACCTTACGGGTTTACCGTTACCCCATGAATGCAATAATAATAATAGTAATACTACTAATAATAATTATAATGCAACAATAATAATAAATAATAGTAGTATAATAATAAAGCAATAATAATAATAATAATAATAATAATAATAATAATAATAATAATAATAATAATAATAATAACTGCAGCTTTCGGTTATCTGACCGAGACCTTCCACTGGCTTACCCAGGTTAGGTTATATCTATTTTAAGTGAGTTGTAATAAGTAATATTTCGACAGTCCTCTCAGTGTATATAGTTGACCAGGACTGTTCTTAGGTTGAAGTCTATCGACTACACGAATCCCATATTTACTAGGGGGGAGGAGGTTAATCTCCATGATCCCTTCATAAACTGGCCTTAATGTAGGTGAAAGGCTTTTGATCCGAGGAACTGGAACTCGGGGCTTTTCTTCGGATCAAAGTTAATTCACCTTCCATTCCTAATGAATGCAGAAATAATGGTAAACAATAATTGTGAGTCAGAGACCCCCGACGGATTTAACGCTTATCCATGTGCACACTGTGATGTTGCACTGTGATGTTGCACTGTGATGTTGCACTCTGATATTGCACTGGAATGTTGCATTGTGATGTTGCACTGGGATGTTGCACTGTGATGTTGCACTGTGAGTTGCACTGTGATGTTGCACTGTGATGTTGCACGTGATGTTGCTGTGATGTGCACTGTGATGTTGCACTGTGATGTTGCACTGTGATGTTGCACTGTGATGTTGCACCGTGATGTTGCACTGTGATGTTGCACTGTGATGTTGCACTGTGATGTTGCACTGTGATGTTGCACTGTGATGTTGCACTGTGATGTTGCACTGTGATGTTGCACTGTGATGTTGCACTGTGATGTTGCACTACTGTGATTGCACTGTGTTGCACTGTGATGTTGCACTGTGATGTTGCACTGTGATGTTGCTCTGTGATGTTGCACTGGGATGTTGCACTCTGATATTGCACGGGAATGTTGCACTGTGATGTTGCACTGTGATGTTGCACTGTGATGTTGCACTGTGATGTTGCACTGTGATGTTGCACTGGAATGTTGCACTGTGATGTTGCACTGTGATGTTGCACTGTGATGTTGCACTGTAATGTTGCACTGTGATGTTGCACTGTGATGTTGCACTGTATGTTGCACTGGGATGTTGCACTGTAATGTATTGCACTGGAATGTTGCATGTGATGCACCGTTCATGTTGCACTGTGATGTTGCACTGTGATGTTGCACTGTGATGTTGCACTGTGATGTTGCTCTGTGATGTTGCTCTGTGATGTTGCACTGTGATGTTGCACTGTGATGTTGCACTGTGATGTTGTACCGTGAGTTGCACTGTGATGCTGCAGTGTAATGTTGCACTGTGATGTTGTACCGTGAGTTGCACTGTGATGCTGCAGTGTAATGTTGCACTGTGATGTTGCAATGGGACATTGCACTGTGATGTTGCACCGTCATGTTGCACTGTGATGTTGCACTGTGATGTTGTACCGTGATGTTGCATTGTGATGTTGCACTGTGATGTTGCACTGTGATGTTGCACTGTAATGTTGCACTGGGATGTTGTTCTGTGACATTTCACTGTTATTTGCACTGAATGTTGCTACTGTGATGTTGCACTGTGATGTTGCACTTTGATGTTGCACTTTGATGTTGCACTGTGATGTTGCACTGTGATGTTGCTTTGTGATGTTGCACTGTGATGTTGCCTGTGATGTTGCACTGTATATGTTGCATCTGTGATGTTGCACTGTAATGTTGCTCTGTGAGCATGTTGCACTGGGATGTTGCACTGTGAAGTTGCACTGTGATGTTGCACTGTAATGTTGCACTGTGATGTTTGCACTGTTATGTTGCTCTGTAATGTTGCACTTGATGTTCACTGGATGTTGTCACCGTGATGTTGCACTGTGATGTGCAGCTGTAATGTTGCACTGTGATGTTGCAATGGGACATTGCACTGTGATGTTGCACCGTCATGTTGCACTGTGATGTTGCACTGTGATGTTGCACTGTGATGTTGCCTGTGATGTTACCGTGATGTTGCACTGTGATGTGATGTGATGTTGCACCGTCATGTTGCACTGTGATGTTGCACTGTGATGTTGTACCGTGATGTTGCATTGTGATGTTGCACCGTCATGTTGCTCTGTGATGTTGCTCTGTGATGTTGCACTGTGATGTTCCTCTGTCATGTTGCACTGTGATATTGCACTGTGATGTTACTCTGTGATGTTGCACTGTGATGTTGCACTGTGATGTTGCACTGTGATGTTGCTCTGTGGTGTTGCACCGTGATGTTGCACCGTGATGTTGCACCGTGATGTTGCACTGTGATGTTGCTCTGTGATGTTACTCTGTGATATAGCACCGTGATGTTGCACTGTGATGTTCCACTGTGATGTTGCTCTGTGGTGTTGTTCTGTGATGTTACACTATGATGTTGCACTGTTATATTGCTCTGTCATGTTGCACTGTGATATTGCACTGACATGTACTTACCTCATTCCTATCCTGTGGATGGTAATCACATCATACCTCTCATGTGGGTGGATTCCAGTACACATCCCTGTGCATCATGAGAATACACACACGATACTGCCTCTCGGACACTAGGATACACATTGTCACGACCCTGTGCAAACATGTCATACACGTACTGACACTGTGTCCGACCTTGTAAACAAGTCATAATGTATCATGACACTGTGTCCTACGACCTACGTGACAAAACATATTCATGTACACTGTTAATCATGTGACAACTGTCTAGGCTCTACACACGCTTAACTGGTGACCTTTCATAAACGTAATTTACTGTCACAAAGTCTTAATACGGGCACATGAAACGTGTGCTCCACAGGGCATCACTAGTGCACACAGCACGTCAGTACTGGTGCACACAACACGTCATAACGGGTGTACACAAAACATCAGTACTGGTGCACACAACATATCCAGATGTGCAACATCTGGATATCTTTATTGTAGACGTTTCGCCATCCAGTGGCTTTATGAATACAGATTCTAGGACATAATTAGAAGACAGTAGAACTATATACAGAAGATGAGGTAATCAGTCCCTTAGTCTTGGAGTTAGTGTTTACAGCATCGTGGTGGAGGAGAATCTGGAGCAAAGGCAACAAGCAAAGCAAATAAGTTCAGGTAAGATCCCAATGGTATGAGCGGGGAACACGGGGCAGATGAAGAATAGCTCTGGAGAGGAGTGTTCTTAGTCAGAGAAATAGAGCCAGGGTTAACCCAGCAGCTAAGGCGATCGTGGGGCAGACTTGAGAATAGGAATAGCAGGGACTGTTGCATCGAACTTGTGGTAGTTGAAGTCTTGAATCTTGAGTAGCTGGCAGCAGGCTAGGTCACATCAGAGGGTAGAACACATATGGGAGTTATAGGAGTAACTGAGGAGGCAGGTTAGCAATGGAGCCATTTTCGAACTTTTCGAAGCTGCTCCTAGATAGGTGGTATAATTTAGCCTTGTTACTGAAGGTGAAACGTAGAGGCTTGATGAACTCAAGAACTTGGGTGAGTGTGAAGTGAAGCGGTGACTCACAGGCATATTTGACTGTTCCAGCACTGAGGCTTTTGTAGAGTTCAGTACAGGTCATGGTGTCAGTATTTGAAGGAGAAGTGTAGAAGGTAAGGTTTTCCCATGAGGGTTTACTGGAGTCGTCGCTATCTTCCTCTTCTGGAGTGGATTCATTGGGCGAATCTACAATGGTGGTAGCAGGTGAGTGAGGGTCGACAGGAGCAGTGGAGAGGTGTAATGGTTGTGTAACAGCAGGCTGGGAGAGTGGGAGACGGTGGTTGAGACAGCATGATCAACGTTGTCAGCGGTGGAAGTGGTTATAGAAGTTACAGGAGCAGTTGCTTGGGCAGGAGACAGGTCTGCAGGTACAGTAAAGTTCAGGGCGTTGGGAAGGATCTTGAGGATGTCTGCTGAAGGTGTGGAGTCCGGAAAATTGAGGCAGGCATGTTGTTCAGACGGAATAGTTCGTTAATAGTGGTGTTGAAAGTGCCAGGGTTTGCTGCGTTTGCAAGGTGTGCATACACCATGCATTACAGCACCTTGGAGGAAGCACCGTCGGGGAGTGGAGAGAGGGAGTTGCTGGGCGATGGTGCCTGTAGATTAGCATATAGAGTCTTGGTGGTGTCGGTTTGTGGTTTGGTTATTGCAGCGTATGTCGGTGAATTGGAGGTGTTCTTCAGAACTTTAGTTTTCTTCAATATGGTTTCTTTCCTGAGTGGGCACTTAGCTGCAAGGGTATGGTGATTACCCTTGCAGTTAAGACATGTTGGTGCTATAGTAATGGTGCAGGATCTGAAATCGCGTCGATCATTCTCATATTTTGAACAAAACTTCTTATCCTTGGTGGGGCAGTCCTTGGTGGTGTTTATAGGAGTAGCAGGTCCAGCAGTGGGAGATGTATGTG